GGGTTCAAGAACAAGAAAAGAAGGAGAAAATCCCAAGCTTGGTCACCAATTTCCTCAAAAATGAGTCGGTGGCTAGAGGGGCTTGGGGGGGCTGTCGGGAGGAAGAGTCGGGAAGAAGAAGAAGATGAGGACGAGCAAAACACGTGGCTGAGGAGAGAAATATCAGCCTTGATCCTTATCCTAATTTTCTTTTTTTTTTAGTCCCTCAACTTTTGAAAATTTGACTATTAAGCCCCTCAATAACATTTTCTCACACAAGGTCCTCAACTTAATTGATAAAATTCCCAAAATTTTGGGGTATTACAATAATATTTTTAGATAGCATTTTAATTTGCCTCTCTTTTATTTTTCAATTTTTTTAAATTTTATTTTCTTTAATTTTCTCAAAAGTATTTACTTCTACGTTCCTTCTTAATTTGGATATATATTTACTTATTGGTAATTTACACATTTAACACTTTAAAATCCATAATTAAAGCACACATTTAATATTATATTCGGTTAAAGTACCATTTTAGTCCCTCAACTTTTCATTTTGATATCAAAATTATCCCTCAACTTTAAAAAGTACTCAAATTATCTTTAAACTTTCATTTTTGATACCAAAATAGTCCTTATGTCAGTTAAGTGTACAAGTGGCATGTTAAAATAACACAAAATCATTGACTTTTTGAATATGAATGACGTGTAAATCCAACAAAGAAAATCTTGTCACATGGCATTTTTTTACACATAAGATGGTGACCACCTCAGTTTTTTTAGTGGGACCCACATAGCATTTTTTAAATGACGTGTAAGTTCTACCTGTTTGTCCCCCAATAGGCCCCCTCAAATGAACAGATCCATTTATAATATCTACCTGTTCATCTTCAATAAACCCCCTCAAACGAACAGATCCATCTTCTTGGCGACCGGAGTATCTCTCCGGCATCGTCTGATATGGCGAGCGTAGGAAGTTCCAAAGGGCGAAAGAACTGAGGAGGAGAAGGCGAGGTTAAGGGCTTTCAGGCAACGTCGGGTTGGGTCAGGTCGGCGAGAGAGAAGGCGCGTGTAGGCAAGGGTTTCACGTGTGTGCGAAGGGGGTGGGTTTCAGAAAACCCAGATGTGGAAAGTTTGAGGGTTTGGCACAGATCTGTGTGTGAGAGTTTGAGGGTTTGGTACAGATGGGGCGTGTGCAGGGTTGGTGTATAAGTGAGCGACTGAGAAGGGGGTGGATTTCAGAAAACCCATATCTGGAAAGGAAGAAGAAGGGAGAAGAAGGGATGGGTTCGAAGGATTGAGAAAGAGGAAAGGGAGAAGACGGTAGCTGTTTCCGGTGTGGCGGAGCTTCCAATACCCTACACTAGCCTCCACCTCATCAATCGCCCAGACTGTAGAGGTCTTCCATGCCTTGTCTTGATTCTTTGATTTCTTTTGTTTTTGATACTTCTGTAACTATGGAGGATCGAGATTGGGATTTTTTGTACAGGAATACTATTACTTTATTTTGTGCTTCATTTCTTCATTCCTTCTCTGGTTGGTTTTATTATTATTATTATTATTAATTTTGCTCTGTTAATCCATGATGAGATTAGTAAATAATTGCTGTCTTAGATCTAACAAATGGTCAAAGGAACGGTTTCTTGTTTCTCTTTACTTTTGTGTTCTCTAGATGATCCTCTAATTTTGGTGGCAAAGCATTTGTTAGGAGATAATAATATGCTCACTAAATGTGTTTTCTGCGCTCTAATCTCAAGTGTCGGGGCTGGAGAAAGGGATGGGCTAACCAGATTTGGGTTTAAGAGAGGAAGAAGAAGGAAGAAGAGAAAGAGAGAGAATAAGAAGAAGAAAGAAAAATGAGCAGGGAAAGTAAGGAGGAAAGGAGGAAAGGAGGAAGAAGATGAAGTTTGAGAGAAAACCCAGATCTGGATTTGCAGAGGTAAGAAAAGAGGAAAGGTAAAGGAGAGAGAAAATGAAAGAAAAAGAAGAAATCTGAAGTGGGTGAAAAAAAAATTATTATTTTTAAATTAAATGAAAATACCAACTCATAAAAAAAAAT